AGTGAGTACCGCAGGGCAGGCGGGACGAAGGAGGGGGGACGCCTTATGAGGCCACGAAACGTGTAACGGTTGCGCCAACATGGGCGGGGCGGAACTGCACGCGGGCGCTGCCATTGAGGCCTTCGGTGGAGCACCCTATGGGGCCATGAAACACGTGAAGCGTGCGCCAAGATGGGGGCGGAACTGCATACGAATTCTCCCCTTGGGGCCTTCGGTGGGGCTGCCTACGGGGCCACGAACTGTGTGAGGGGTGCGCCAAGATGGGGATGGAACTGAATGCGGGCGCTGCCACTAGGGCTTTCGGTGGGGCACCCTAGTGGAACTCCACGCGGGCGCTGCCATTGGAACCTTCGGTGGAGCTAGCCCCCTATGGGGCCAGGAACCGTGCGAGGGGTGACCAAGATGGGGGTGGAACTGAATGCGGGCGCTGCCAGTGGGGCGTTCGGTGGAGCTCCCTATGGGGCCCACGAGCCGTGTAAAGGATGCGCCGGCATGGCTGCATGCGGGCGCTGCCATTTGGGACTGCGGTGGGGCTCCCTATGGGGCCACGAACCGTGTGAGAGTGCGCCGAGATGTGGGTGGAATTGCGGGCATTCGGTGGAGCTCCCTAAGGGGCCACGAACCGTGCGAGGGGTGCGCCAAGATGGGGGTGGAACTGAATGCGGGCGCTGCCACTGGGGCCGTCGGTGGAGCTCCCTATGATGCCACGAACCGTCTGAGGGGTGCGCCACGATTGGGGGTGGAAGTGAATGCGGGCGTTGCCGTTGGGGCCTTCGGTGGAGTTTCCTATGAGGCCACGAACCGTGTGAGGGGTGCGCCAAGATGGGGGCGGGATTGCATGCGCAGCCGAACCGTGTGAGGGGTACGCCGAAATCGATGGCGGAATTGCATGCGAATGTCCCCATTGGGGCCTGCGGTGGGGCTCCCTATGAGGCCACGAACCGTATGAGGGGTGTGCCGACATGAGGGGCGGAATTGCATGCGACCTTTCCCACTGGGGCCTCCAGTGGGGCTCCCTTAGGCCCTATGGGGCCACGAACCATGTAAGGAGTACGCCGAAATGGGGGGTGGAACTGCACGCGAACGTGCCCAGTGGGGCCTTAGATGGAACCCCGTATATTGCCACGAGCCGTGTGAGGCCGAAGTGATGTGTGGCATTGCATGCGAATTGTTCCTCATTGGGGCTTTCGGTGGAGCGCCATATTTGGCCACGAACCTTGTGAGGGGTGCGCCGAAGTGGGAGGGTGGAATTGCATGCGAATGTTCCCACTGGGGCCTTCGGTGTAGCTACCTGTGTGTCCACGGCACGTGTGACGGGTGCGCCGAAATTGGTGGTGGAGCATCACGCGAATGTTCCCCCGCTGGGGCCTGCGGTGGGGCTCCCTGTCGTGTGAAGGGTGTACCGAAACATAGGTGGTGGATTTATTTGCATGCGAAATTTCCCGCTGGGGCCTGTGGTGGGGTCTCCGATGGGGCCACGAAGCGTGGGAGGGGTGTGCCGTGATCATGTTGACGATGGTGATGGTGATGATGATGGAGACGACGATGACGATGATGGTGATGGTGATGATGATGATGCTGATGATGATGATGATGATGATGATGATGATGATGGTGATGGTGATGATGATGATGATGATGATGATGATGATGGTGATGGTGATGGTGATGGTGATGGTGATGATGATGATGATGATGATGATGATGATGATGATGATGGTGATGGTGATGATGATGATGATGATGATGATGATGGTGATGGTGATGATGATGATGATGATGATGATGATGATGATGATGATGAAGACGATGACGATGACGATGATGATGGTGATGATGATAGCTGATGCTGATGATGATGGTGAACATGGCGACAAGGACGGCGGAGGCAAGGAGAGGGAGGGGAGAGGAGGATGAGGAGGAGTGGACAGCGGGTGGGAGGTGACGCGGGGCTTTGTCTCTTCAAAACGAGGACCCAGCACCACAGGATGCTTGGGAAATACAATTCGAGCCACCAGAGGGGGGCAATATACAGGCACACGCGCAAAACACAGAAGGCGATCCACAGGAGAGGGGCAATCGGAGGCACAGATTTGAACACACATCGGATTCGAGCCTCAGGAGAGGGGGCCATCTGTAGGCACATTAGCGAATCAGCCTGGCGAAGATCCCAACCATATGCAGTTGTGAGTGGCCTAAGTGTGAGTACCGTTTCCGGTGAAGCTCCCGACAGAACGACGAAACCTAAGAGAAATGCGCCGAAGTGGGGGTGCAATTGCATGCGAAGTTTCCCACTGGGGCCTGCGGTGGGGCTCCCTACGAGGCCACGAACCGTGTGAGGGGGGTCGGTCGCTCGGTCTCTGGTCTGCCCCTGGCTGGTGTTGGTTATGTTTCGGTCGTCCGTCGGTTGCTGTGGTCGCGCCTGGCCCTCGGCTGGCCCTCGGTCGCTCGGTCTCCCCTTCCGGGCTGGTTTTTGTTACTTTTCGGATGCCCGTCGGTTGCTGTGTTCGCGCCTGGCCCTCGACTGGCCCTCGGTGGCTCGGTCTCTGGTCTGCCCCTTGCTGGCTGGTTTTGGTTTATTTCTCTTGTCTGTCGATTGTCCGTCGGTTGCTGTGGTCGCGCCTGGCCCTCGGCTGGCCCTCGGTCGCTCGGTCTCCCGTCTGCCCTTGCCTGGCTGGTTTTGGTTATTTTTCGATTGTCCGTCGGTTGCTGCGGTCGCGCCTGGTTCTCGGCTGGCCCTCGGTAGCTCGGTCTCTCGTCTGCCCCTTCCTGGCTGGTGTTGGTTGTTTTTTGGTTGTCCGTCGGTTGCCCGTCGGTTGCTGTGGTCGCGCTTGCTTGGCCCTCGACTGGCCCTCGGTCGCTCGGTCTCTGGTCTGCCCCTTCCTGGCTGGTGTTGGTTATTTGTCGGTTGTCTCTCGGTTGCTGTGGTCGCGCCTGGCCCTCGGCTGGCCCTCGGTCGCTCTGTCTCTCGTCTGCCCCTTCTTGGCTGGTTTTGGTTATTTGACGGTTGTCCGTCGGTTGCCCGTCGGTTGCTGCGGTCGCGCCTGGCCCTCGACTGGCCCTCGGTGGCTCGGTCTCTCGTCTACCCTTTCCTGGCTGGTGTTGGTTATTGTTCGGTTGTCTGTCGGTTGTCCGTCGGTTGCTGTGGTCGCGCCTGGCCCTCGGCTGGCCCTCGGTCGTCCGGTCTGTCGTCTGCCCCTTCCTGGCGGGTTTTAGCTTTTTTTTTTCTGTTGTCCGTCGGTTGCTGTGGTCGCGCCTGGCCCTCGGCTTGCCCTCGGTCGCTCGGTCTCTCGTCTGCCCCTTCCTGGCTGGTTTTGGCTACGTTTCGGTTGTCCGTCGGTTTCCCGTCGGTGACCGTGGTCGCGCCTGGCCCTCGACTGGCCCTCGGTCGCTCGGTCTCTGGTCTGCCCTTTCCTGATTGGTTTTGTTTATGTTTCGGTTGTCTGTCGGTTGTCCGTCGGTTACTGTGGTCGCGCCTGGCCCTCGACTGGCCCTCGGTGGCTCGGTCTCTGGTCTGCCCCTTCCTGGCTGGTTTTGGTTTTTGTTTCTCTTGTCTGTCGGTTGTCCGTCGGTTGCAGTGGTCGCGCCTGGCCCTCGACTGGCCCTCGGTCGCTCGGTCTCTCGCCTGCCCCTTTGTGGCTGGTTGTTTTTAATTTTCGGTTGTCCGTCGGTTGCTGTGGTCGCGCCTGGCCCTCGGCTTGCCCTCGGTCGCTCGGTCTCTCGTCTGGCCCTTCTTGGCTGGTTTTCATTATTTTTCGGTTGTCCGTCGGTTGCCCGTCGGTTGCTGTGGTCGCGCCTGGCCCTCGGCTGGCCCTCGGTCGCTCGGTCTCTCGTCTGCCCTTTCCTGATTGGTTTTTGTTTTGTTTCGGTTGTCTGTCGGTTGTCCGTCGGTTGCTGTGGTCGCGCTTGGCCCTCGGCTGGCCCTCGGTCGCTCGGTCTCTCGTCTGCCCCTTCCTGTCTGGTTTTGGTTGTTTTTCGGTTGTCCGTCGGTTGTCCGTCGGTTGTTGCGGTCGCGTCTGGCCCTCGATTGGCCCTCGGTCGCTCGGTTTCTGGTCTGCCCCCACCTGGCTGGTGCTGTTTTTTTTCGGTTGCCCGGCGGTTGTCCGTCGGTTGCTGTGGTCGCGCCTGGCCCTCGGCTGGCCCTTGGTGGCTCGGTCTCTCGTCTGCCCCTTCATGGCTGGTTTGGATTATTTGTCGGTTGTCCGTCGGTTGCCCGTCGGTGGCCGTGGTCGCGCCTTGCCCTCGACTGGCCCTCGGTCGCTCGGTTTTTGGTCTGCCCCTTCCTGGCTGGTTTTTGTTCTGTTTCGGTTGTCTGTCGGTTGTCCGTCGGTTGCTGTGGTCGCGCCTGGCCCTCTTTTGGCCCTCGGCCGCTCGGTCTCTCGTCTGGCCCTTCTTGGCTGGTTTTGGTTATTTTTCGGTTGTCCGTCGGTTGTCCTTCGGTTGCTGTGTTTTTGTTTCGGTTGTCCTTCGGTTGCTGTGTTTTTGTTTATTTTCGCTTGTCCGTCGGCTCCATTTTTCCCCTCAAGCCCCTCATTGGGCCCTGGAGCGGCCGGGCCGTCGTGAGAAATTGCCGGCGAATTCAGTTGCTACTTTCTTAATTTGTTGGGCCCCGGCTCAGCTGTAAAATGTCTTATCTCTTGGTTTTCTTAATACTGACCGGGGGTGTACACCACATAGCTTGCGCCCCCTAGCTTCGCTTGCACGTCCAAAGTGCAATAACTCACTCTTTGGGAAGCACGGTGGAAAGTATGGTGTGTTTGTTTCCCTGGGATGCTGCCCCACCTTGATGCCAGTGCACTCCTCTCTCTTCCTGCGGCTCCTGCGCGCTCCCCCCTTGCCGGCCTCCCGCTGCTGGGCGCAGAGCTGCACGGCTCTCGTGTGACGGGCCACCGGGGCGCGCTGGTTGACCCTCGCGCTCTCCTCGCAGCCAGTCCGTGCCCGAGGCGGAGGAGGCATGGCAGCGGCTCCTGCCCACGCGCAGTCCGGCCCTCAGGCGGGTGATGAGCCACTGGGGGACTCCAGATGGCCCAGCGGCCACGTGCGCGGCGGAGCGCCAGGCGCCGCCGCGGCCGCGGTTGCCCCGCGGGGGGGCGGCGAGCGAGGAGGTTCCGGTCGGACGACAGGGGGAAATCTGTTGCGCGCGGCTGGTTTCGGCTCCGCCGCGGAGCGTTTTCCTCGATGCTCCGGCGTCGGGAGGCGCCCGAGGAAGCAGCCATCTGAGCCGTAGCCGCTACCACGCCCCCTTTGCTATCCCCCCCCCCCAGCCGTCCCCACCGAGAGGTGGTGGAGCTGCGGCGGCGCTCGTTGGCGCTGCTGTGCCGCAGCCTCTGCGCAGGGCGCGCGGCGCCCGAGCAGGACTCCCCGGACGCCGCGTGGCAGGCGGCCTGGGCCGAGGCGGCGGCGGCGGACTGCGCGAGGGAGCTGGAGGCGGCCACCTGGTCGAGCTTTGGAGCGGGCGCCGAACGAGCGCCGCCTGCGGCACCCGGCGTGCCGGGTGCGGCCGGCGCGCTGCGCGCGTACCGGGCGAAGGTGCGCTCGTGGGCCGCCACGCTGCGGCGGCCGGAGAGCATGGAGCTCAGGAGTCGGGAGCCTGAAGACTCGGGGGTGGATAGAACCCCCAACAGTGACACGTCGATTAGTGAATTGTCCGTTTTCGGTTCTCGAGAGGGCGCCGTGGCCGTTATTTTCCAGGCTTGCGCCCGCCGGGTTTGGGCCTCAGGTCGTTTTCACTAAACCACGTTTTACTAAAGGGGTGTCTGTCCATCCCCGAAAGACGGGGGTCGGTGCAGACGGGGGTCGGCCAGAGAGCGCCGGAGCATGCAGGATCCTGCAGAGCCAGGGCTGCACTGACCCGGGGCCGCGCGCAGGCAGGGTCTTGCAGGCCCGACTGACCCGGGTGTGCATTGACCTGGGTCCGTAGATCCCCGAAGGAGGCTGGTGATGGACGGCCAGGTGGGCGGCAGGGACATCGCCGAGCGCGGGGAGGAGGAGTTCTTGCCAGCCGGTCTGCTGTCCGAGCGCCAGAGGCACCGCAAGGAGGGTCTGCTGTCTGTCTGGCATCGCGAGCAGGCCCTCGATTTCTTCGACGCTAACCTGTCTTGCCCCGAGTGCCAAGCCATCGGGGCTCGGTACAGCATCCTACGAGAGGCCTGGTTGTTGCCGAGGTGCACGGGCAACCAGGGGCACATGCGCCGCGATACCGGGAGGTCAATCTTGGCCGAGTGCGTCCAGTGCAGCGAGCGTTGGCAACAGGACGAGGTGCAGTGACTTCGCCTGCTGGGGGTCCGCCGTATGGCGCCGCAGCCGTCAGCGATGCGTGCACCAGCCTCGCCGCAAGACACGGCTCTAAGGCGCAGGAGAAAGTCGCTGTCCTGTGGGGTGTCTGGCGCCGCTCAGATGTCTGTGCGTCGTTGCCGCAGGGAAGAACAAAGTCTTTTTCAACCGCTCCCCTTGTTGTGAACGTGAGTGTGAGGATCCAAGGAAGGAGGGAGCAGGAGGACGAGGGGGAGGAGACAGAGGAAAAATGCGGGGGCGGAGGCAGCGGCGGGGGGCGCACTCGTTCTCTGACGCTCATGTACGCAGGGGGTGGGGGCGGTGGGGCTTTGCATGTACGGTATGTGCCGATTCTGAAGTTCTTCTCCGGGAGACGTTACATGGTCAGGTCATCTGGAGCCCGCAAGATTTTGAAGTCTTCGATCACCGTGATCATTATGTTCGCTTCCTGCTATTCGCGAACACGCGCAGGGAACTGGCTAAGAACGGATCATCCAGGGACGTACCCAGCATATTCGCAACATGTGGCAATGTCAGTGGACTCATCCAAGACGATTTAACATTGGACGGGCGCCTTGTCTTTTTGTGCAGACATTGGGGCCTACGTAAAGCGCCCCCATCAAATCCACATTATGCGGCAACACCGAAGGCACAGTATTTGTTGGCATAGAGCGTCGTTTCGTTGGACCTCCAAGGAGTTCCCGAAAGCGGTGGCGGTCTCACAGTTGACAGCGCTAGAAAGGCAGGTATAGCAGCCCAGATCCGTTCAGCACCGTTCTCCGCTGGACCTCCCAAGAGGCTCGCGAAAGTGCCGACAGTTGTGCAGCTGGCAGCGCCCAGCTAGGGGTGTAACAGTGTAGATGTTCGTAGGGCCGCGCTCCGCTGGGCCTTCCAGGATCTCCCGAAAGCGCTGACGTTTGTGCAGTTGGCAGCGCCAAGGGAGGGGAGTACCAGTTTTGGATCGCGAAGGACCGTGCTCCGCTGGACCTCTGGACCTCCCAGGAGCTCCTGAAGGTACCGACAGTTTCGCAGTTGGCACCGCCCAGGGAGGCGAATAACAGCGCTCGGGACCGCACTCCGCTGAACCTTCCAGAAGCCCCCAAAAGTGCCAACGGTTGCGCAGATGGCAGCGCCCAGGGAAGGAACAATAGTTCAGATCCGAGGTAGGACCGCACCCCGCTGAGCCTGCCAGGAGCCCCCGACAGTGCCGACGGTTGCGCAGTTGGCAGTCCCCAGGGAGTGGAGCAATAGTCCGGGTCCGCGTGGGACTGCACCCCGCTTGACCCTTCACCACGCGAATGGAATCAGGCTCGTCGAAGGGATAGGTGTCAGCGCGGGCACAGTCCTCACATGTTGCAGCAGACACTAGGTCGTTCTGCTCTTTCAGTACGCGGCAAGAGCTCATGTCTCTGTTGCTCCTCCTCCTCCTCCTGCTCCTCCTCCTCATCCTCCTCATCCTCCTGTGCATCCCCCTCCTCCAACTCCTGCTCCTGCTGTCAGGTCTTTGACAAGTTGGGCAAGCTGCCACCGCTGATTCAGCCTTCCGAGGACGACCCGCCGCAAGAGCTTGAGGGCAGGGCAGAGAACGGGTCGGGCGGGACTGGCGTCCATGTTGGGGGGAAGGAAGGCAGGTTGCGTCAGACATGGGAACGGCAACAGCCATTCGCTGAAAGTGCGCCCTCTTGAACCCCCAGATCCCAGCATATTTCCACCGTCTCTCTACGTTCACAGTCGGCGGTTTCCTCGGTCGGCCGCCTCTTAATTTGAGCAGGCCAGAGTGCAGTACTATTACCAACGTCTTCCAGACGTCGTGCACAGGTGGGAGCGATGCCTGACACCACGCCCTACTCGCTTCAGACGGGAATCGCCGCCGGCTTCGGGGAAGCGTCGTCTGCCCGACGGGAGGCGCCGTCTGTTTCGGACGCCATGTGCCAGCTGACATCGTCCCCAACCATTGCCCCCGGTGTAGCTCTTGTCGTTCTCTGCTTGATCCTTGGTATCCCGTATAGCAAATGCCCTCTTCCTCGTTCCCGCCATTCCCTGTGAACCCTTCCCCGTCCTTGTCTTTTGTGTTTGCGGAGGTTCCTCTCTGGGGGGTACTCTTGGGGGCATATCGAAGAATTCTTGAAGGTTTCTTGTGGTCATTCCGAGGCCGCCTGAAAACCTTCGGAGGGCCTCTGGGGCTTTTTGGAGCCATCTTGCCGTCAGCCGCGGCTTCCCTGAACGAGCCAGTCACGATTTGGTTTGCTTGGTGGTGGAACGTTTGTGGGCTTTTTGAAAGCATGTTGGAGCAAGTTGGGCTGTTCGTGGGGCTCTCTTGGGCCGTCTTGACGCCCTTCGGGCTAGTCTTGCGCCGACCCTGGAGCATTTTTGGTCGTTACCTTCGCTCCCGCTGCGCGACAATGAAAGAGCACATATGCGCAGCATCACGCATGTGGCACAATTCACTTATGAGGATCGGGCGCGTCCGCGCCCGGGCAGGAAAAAGCGTGCGCTCTCCGACGGGAACGCGCGTGCATCTTCCATACATGCTTACATTTGCTTACCAGAGCATAGCCGCCATTTCGTGTTACATCGATTTCAGGAGAAGAGACGGTAGCTCCCCCTCGGAGCGTGCGTTGCGGCTGACGGAACCGACCTTCAGAAGAACCCTGACGTTGAGCTCGCGGATGCCGGAGCCGAAGGCGCCGAGGCCTGACCCGACGGTCCTGGTGCAGAGTTGGCAGGAGCGTGGGCCATTGGCACCGACTCCGCCGACTCACCCGGCGGATACTACGAGGGTGCACCTCCGATCTCGGAGTGGGGCGAGCCGCCCGGGTCGCGGGAAACAGCTCCGAGCCGAGAAGAAGCGACTCCTGACACTGCCGAGAGCGATTCGCCTGACCTTGTCCCCAAGCGCTGGGAGGGTAGCCCCGGCGTCGGAGAGGGAGAAGCAGACTCGAGGTCCATGTTCTTACAACAAGTTTCCAATGCCCGCTGCGCCTCCAGGGATGTTGCCACGAAGTGGGCCTCCTTCGCCTGCGCGACCACCCCCAACTCCTTGGGTCCTCTTGCACGGGCACGCCGTCGCGTTCCACAGGTCCACTGCTCGGTCTGAGTTCTGGCCGGCCCACTGCAGGGACGTATCCTCCGTCAGCCCCCTCGGAGTGATCGACCTGTAGATCCGCCTTGTATCCTTCAAACTTCTGAACAGCAGTACACTGGGCAACGTCGTTGCGTGGCTACATCCAGCCCGTACTCCTTAAAACAACTGCACTGTGTTGGAGTGGCTACCATAAGCCCGAACATATCTCGGCTACGAGTACTGCATGACGAGGCACCACGCCAGTCGTAAAGGGAAACCAATTGCACGAGCTTCACGAAAGAGGGCTTCATGGCGGATCGTCTCGTAGCAATTCGCTATGTCCATGAGGACTGCGATCGCATGCTGGCCCGTCATCCTAGCGATCTCTGCCGCGATGTTCTGCTCGAAAGCGCTGTCGGACGAAGTCCCGCCACTGCCACTGCCCAAAAATACGTCGTTATTGTGTTGCTGATCCCACTTCACCGAGATCGCACGCCTGGCTCGGCCCCAACAACGCGACATCGCATGTAAGAGAGCAATCAGCTTATGACCCCCATCGTGTTGACCCAATCGCACCATCTCTGATAACACTCTGTTGGTAGGCCACGCCCCCAGCTGCTCGCATTCGTTGAAAAGCCTCCGTCACGCACTGGAACACAACGAGCGGCAACTTCTGAAACTCACGGGGGTGAACACGAAAGGGCCCCAGCCAGTCTTCTCTGGGAATTTGCCTGCCGCCTGCCAAAGACCGCCCGCCGATAGTGGAGGTAGCCCCGCCCATGATCCAAAGCCTGCTGGACGCTGAAGAACGTCATCACCATGCTTCCGCCATATACCAAGCCATCCTTGCAAACACATCTCCGCCCGTTCAAAAGGTCGGGCCCCATCACCTTCATCAACCAGTTCTTGAACTTCAGCCACTCTGGAGAACCGAAAAACCGCACTTGCACCACCACGGAAAGCTTTCTGTAGCCAGCTCTTCCATCCCTCGCGCACCCTCTTCTGCATCTTGAGGTCCTGCGCCCTAGCCTGCTTTAAGACCTTGTCTACGTGGTCATCGCAGCCGGGCGTCGCAAACATCCTGCAGCCAAAAGCCAGACTACCGTGGGCATCAGCTGACAAGAACTTGCATGTCCGTCATGCCTTCCCCGTAGCATCGACCAGGGAAGTGAACTCCACAAGCCTGTTGGCCACGTTGTCAACGTTCACGTCGGAGCCCTTGCCCAGCGCCAGAATCGCTTGAGTCCTCATCGAACGGAGATGCCGCATCCACCTTGCACACGTCTGCCAAGCCACGTCCTCCTCCGCACCCTGGCCAGAATGAGGTTCCACCTCAGGTAACGCCAGCTTCTTCTTGGCTAGTCGCGGCGTTGGGTCTGCCTGGATGTAACTGGCTTTCTCGGCCCCCACGATGCCGTGCAAACCCAATACTTCCTCCAAGAGGGCTCCCACCATAACGTCCCGCTGCTAGGTAAGCTCGGTTACATCCGACATTGTCTTCGTCTGCTCACGTAGAATTGCCCATCCGTGGGGAGGACGCGCACATCCTGTCTTTGCCCTTTTGGGCAGGTGCTTGGGCTCCGCCAAAATATAACACCAAAGCTCCTCGACCTCTCCCATCAGAAGCACCGACGCAGGTGAGGTCAGCCAGCTGGCATTACCACTCCCAGTACGGTTGACCAAGGACAGCGACAGGATGAATAAGTCGATCGTGCTTCCTGGAGTTGAGGTCAAGCACGTCGGACTCGCAGGCTCACGCACCACGCCTCGAAAGAAAGGTGGGCCACCTTCACGCAACTCTTCACGAGACATGTTGAAGCCGCCCATCACCATGGTAGGCCCCTCTCCTCAGACTCGTACACGTGTTCCGATACTTAATTTTTGTTTAAGTCCGCAAGTTAGCTTCCGACATCTTCTCCGAATGCCGCAGGTAGAGCGACGGCACGGCCGCCCCACCAGGGGCACTTCCCATAACATGAGCGGCTATCGCTCGACCAGGCTCGATTATGTAGTCGCTCAAAGCCGGCTTCACGACCTCCACATCTTTCGGGGCCAGCATTGCCGCCCCGCCTGTCGATCCCGAGTGTTGCCCAGGTAGAGCTGGAGCCCACAGACCATGCCGAACCAATTTGGCCGTCTGCCGCTGCGCCTTTTACGACTTTTGATTCCACCACGCGATGCTCCTGCGCTGTCAACACCTCCGCTTCACACCCTACCGAGTATTTGCGTAACGCTGAAACGGCAGTGACGTTCAGCGTTGTGATTGTCCGCACCTTCTTCTTCATAGGGTCAAGCACACCACTACACAAATCCAACATTCCCCCTCCACTCGCCTCATGCCGTAGGGGCTGCGTCCACCTTGCGACGCTTGAGACCTGGTGCGATACCTTCCATGACACTGAAAAGCAGCTTTGCGTATTCACGTAGCTCTTCATCGTCAGCAGGGACAAACACATCGACACCACCACCAGCATGCTTGGCGAACAGGTCCCTCCATTTCTTCGGGTCGAACTGCTCCTTAGCGAAATTGTCCTCTTCTTCCTCCTCCACTTGTTTTTCGCGCTCAGCAGCCCGACGCCGTTCAGCTTCAGCTTCTTGGGCCGCGGCGGTGGCCTTCGCATCCACCTGGGCTTTGTAACTCGCAACCATAGACTCCGTAGCCTCGACAGGCCCACACAGAGCCCGCAACATCTCGCCAAGCGCCTCGACCGACAGCTCACTGTCCGCGATCAGGCTCGCCAACCACGCATTGGCTTCTTCTTTGTGGCCACCATACCCACCAGGAGGGCGAGCAGCATGACCGACCAGCCGATGACGCTGCTCTTCCAGCTCCAACAACTCTTGTCCTTGTGCCACGTACGGCTCCCGTGCATATTTAGCTTGCTTCTCGAGCTCCGCAATCTTGGTATTGATGCCATCTTCCCTGTGCTGCCAATGGAGCAGGCTGTGTTGGTAAGTCTTGATCTTCTGCTCGTTGCAAGCAATACATACCTGCAGCGGCTTCTGCTCCAGATCATTGCCTCGCCATTCTTCACGTTATTCGATGGCCTCTTCACGGCGAGCTCGGATGGCTTCATCGTCTACTCCCTTGGTCGTCTCGGTGAGTTTTGTGAGCCTCTGGATGTCCACCTTCGGAACTTTGTCGCCACTTGCTGCACCTTTCTGAGTATACACCTCCATGTTGTTTGCGCCACCTCTATCCAGCTGCTGCAACTTCGCATCCGGCTCCTTGAGCCGTTTCTCCAACAGGTTGAGTTGCACCTGCATTGCCTTCCTCTCCTTGGGCCATGGAGCTGCTTGTAGCGACACGCTTGGCTCCGTGGAGGACATTGTAGGCGGGCCCGCGTACGCACTGCCCTTGGCCACGCCACACCTGAAGCAACTCTTCCGATGAGCATGGTTAACCAGCTTCCCACCAGACGATTTGTCTCTGCACCACTTACATTGCCACCCTCCTGCCACTTCTGCACGGGCCTTCGGCGCCATCCTTCGCACTGCGGTGCATCACGATACAGAGACGCTTCACCCCTCTGAAGGCCAAAAAAGTAGAGTAGACAGTGAATGTGTAAGAGATTGAAGACTGGCCGCGGGCTAGCGGCATCCCTTCTGCCTGGAGGCTGAACAGCCCCCCTGGTTGTCATTTTGAGCCAAAGTGGCTACGGAGTGCGAGGAGGAGGAGGAGGAAGAGGAGGACGAGGAGGGGGCGAGCGGGACAAGGTGGAAGGAGTGGGTCCGGTCCATGTCAGCGACTGTTGCGGCGTCCACGGTCATTCTAGGCGTGAGAAGGCAAGGCAGTCGCGTCGAAGGGCTTACAAACAGCCGAGGCCGCGCGACTATGCCCCCCTCCCGCGGCAAAGCGACGACAGCATTCACAGCACGCGTGCTTGGGCATCGGCGCAGCTGTTCGATTTGTCCGGGCGCTCTCTTTACGTTCGCAGACCATCGCGGGAAGGTTGGACCGATTTCGGCATACGTTTTCCAGGCCGGGGCTTGACTCGGCGGGTGGATTGTGATTTTTGCCCGGCCCTCATGGTTACCTCGGGGGGCCAGCGTGATGCACATAGCAATTCGCGCTTGAGTTGTCGCGGTCGATGTCCTCGTCGGCCTAATCGTCGTACATTTGCATTGTATTTTCGGCTCGGGAGAAGTTCGCTGAACTCATCCTAACTGTGCTGGTTACGTGCGATGTGTAGCCCGAGGTGACAGGAAGCCATGGCTGAGGCGGAGCAGGTAGCCCCAGCCGACGAGGCCGACTTCACAGCGGAGAAGCCAGCCGAGAGCGACAGCAGCGATTCCGATGACGGCATGCCTCCGCTTGACGGCTACTGGGCATCGATGCTCAACGTTACTAAGACTGAAGCGCCTGTGAAGCCCCAGCTTTTATTGAAGACGAAGCTCGACGAGGAGCGGAAGGGTAAGGGCCGCGGCAAGGGCAAGAAGGGGAAGGGCGGCAAGTCTGGATACCCGCCTATGGGCATGTATCCGGGATTTCCATTCGACCCGCTCAACCCCATGTGGGGCAGAGAAAGACATGTGGTGAGGCGCTTCCGCCCTTCCCCCTTCCCCCATCCCACCTCAAAAGGGGGGGTGAGCTCACTGCATGGACTTCTTCGCCCCACCCGTGGGCCAGAAAGGCTGGAAGGGCGGCAAGGGCAGCTGGCGCTCCAGACAAGGTGCCAACCCGAACGACATAGGCGATTTCATCGCGTGGGCGCAGGACGAGAACGCCGCGGACGGCAGCCGGCCGGTGCGAGAGAGGTCCCGCTCACCCGCGAGGCAGCCTGCTTCTATGCGCTTGGAGACGGGGGAGGGCCGAAAGCCATGCTCCTCTGCCCTCACCCTCCTTTGTCTCCTCGTCCTCCTCCTCCTCCTCTTCCTCCTCCTCCTCCTCCTTCTCCTCCTCCTCCTCCTCCTCCTCCTCCTCCTCCTCCTCCTCCTCCTCCTCCTCATGATCATCATCATCATCATCAGCAGCATCAGCATCATCATCATCATCATCATCATCATCATCATCATCATCATCATCATCATCATCATCATCCCAATCCGCATCCGCATCCTCCTTCTCCTTCTCCGCCCCCTCCTCCTTCTCCTCCACCTCCTCGTCTTTCTTTCTGTCCCGGGGGTTCTGACAGAAGTTCGACGCCCGCGGGACGGGATGAGAGCAAGATGGGACAGGAACGTAACGACAATGTGGCGGCAACGACAGCATCAGCAGCAGTAATTAGCCGCAGCATGTCGGTGAAACGCATGCATCCCCCTGGCCTGAACACAGTCCTCGGCCATTCGACGTCCAGCGTAGACGCGAACTATGCAAAGCCGTGGCCCTTCCTAGACCAAGTCTGGTACACCTTAGGCGATGCTTAAGAAAACTTAAGTTTTCGTCCAGAGTCTCGATTATTCTTAACGTTTCAATGTAAATCCCCAGATTTTGATAGAAATGTTGGGTTTTTATTCTATTTCTGAGACTATGAATTTCTTAACCCATGATTTCTTAAGCATTTCGCAGGGTGTATTGCCAATGAGTGTGGCGCCACAGCCCGAGGGGAAATGAAAACAGGCTCACCTTGACGGGCTGAGATTTCGAGAGGCCTTTCGTTCTTATAGCCACTGCCACCCGCCACAGGCGGCGCGCGGAGCCTGGGGCAAGGCAAGGGCGAAAAACTGGATCCAGGAGAGACGAGAGCAGCAGGCAGCCGACCGAGAGCCAGCCGTCAGTTCTGCCCCTCATCTCGTGGTGTGTCGTATCTGGTGGTGGATCACACAGTCCATGCAAAGTATGTCGGCCATCTAGATGAAAGGGGTCCAGTGATGCGTGGTATCTCCTCAGAGCGATCGATATCCACCCATCGCCTTCCTGTGTAACAGATGCAGTGAGTGCTGGAGTCGTGCCTCGTCTTTGTACGTCTACCCGCGGCTGGGGGCGCCGTGGAGGTCGATGGTGCCGAGCGCGGGAGGTCTTGGAGCATAGCTGGACCTGGTGCCAGCCGAGTGCGTTCCCCCGTAAACGTTGTCGAAGTCGAAGTCCGGGGGCAGTGTCTGCCGTACACAACGGCCCCCCGGATCAGGGGGGCCAGAAGGCCGCATCAGGAAGTGCTCGCCCCCCGCCGACCCGCCCCCCGCCGACCCGCCCAACGGAGGCCGAGGGGGAGGGGGAAAGGGGGAGAGGAGGAGGGAGGGGTGAGGAAGCGGAGGAAGGCAGCACAGAGCATGTCCCGATCCACGTCCAGCGCAGACGCGAACTATGCAGAGCCTTGGCCCTTCCCAGACCAGGTCTGGTATTTCGGGCCGAACGAAAGGGGGGGATTGGGAAAGGGGGGGTTACGAAATCTGCTGCATGCAGCTGGTTTCGGCCTCGCCGCCGGGCCCATTCCTCGATACATGGGCGCCTCCCGGCGCCGGGAGGCGCTGGGGAAATCAGCTACGTGAGCTGATTCTCAAACCCCCCCTTTGCTATCCCCCCCTTTCGCCCGACCCGAGTATTGCCAATGAGTGTGGCGCCACAGCCTGAGGGGAAGTGAAAACAGGCTCACCTCAACGGGTTGAAATTTCGAGAGGCCTCTCATTCTCAGCCACTGCCACCACCGCCACAAAGCGGCGCGCGGAGCCCGGCAAGGCAAGGGCGAAAAACTGGATCCGGGAGAGACGAGAGCAGCAGGCGGCCGACCGGGAGCCAGCCGTCAGTTCTGCCCCTTTCATCTCATGGCGTGTCGCATCTGGTTGTGGATCACACAGTCCATGCAAAGTATGTCGGCCATCCAGATAAAGGGGTCCAGTGATGCGTGGTATCTCCTCGGAGCGATCGATGTCCACCCATCGCCTTCCTGTAACAGATGTCGTTAGTGCTGGAGTCGTGCCTCGTCTTTGTGCGTTTACCCGCGGCTGAGGGGCGCTGTGGAGGTCGATGGTGCCGAGCACGGGAGCTCTTGGAGCATAGCTGGACCTGGTGCCAGCCGAGTGCGTTCCCCCGTAGACGTTGTCGAAGTCGAAGTCCGGGGGCAGTGTCTGCCGTACGCAACGGCCCCCGGATCAGGGGGGCCAGAAGGCCGCGTCAGGAAGGGCCCGCCCCCCCCGCCGACCCGCCCCCCGCCGACCCGCCCAACGGAGGCCGAGGGGGAGGGGAAAAAGGGGAGAGGAGGAGGGAGGGGTGAGGAAGCGGAGGAAGGCAGGAGAGAGCATGTCCCGATCCACATTTCTCACCCCCCCACACCCAAGGGCACAGCCGGCGGCCCCCTATGGAAACATGCGCATCACGAGATCCCCCACACTTGCCAACGCGCGCGCGCGCCCCCCCACACACACACACACACACACACACACACACACACACACACACACACACACACACACACACACACACGCACACACACACACACACACGCACACACACACACACACGCACACGCACACGCACACGCACACGCACACGCACGCACGCACGCACGCACGCACGCACGCACGCACACACACGCGCACACACACACACACACGTACACCCACACGCACGCGCGCACACCGACACAAGACACACCACCACACCACACACGCACCCCCGTGCACTGTTGGAGTGGCTTTCAATGCGAGGGGTCGATACCTCCGCCCCTACTACCCGTGCTGGGTATACGAGGGTACGAGACCCTGCGTGAGCACTGCTCCCTCAGGATTCGAGACCTCCGCCACTGAAAGCGGTACCGGACTGCTCACTAACACAGATGGCGACCCGGAGGCGAGGGACGGTCCGCCGGGCACCAGGATCGGGACAAAGCCCCCGCTCTCGTACCCAGGTGTCTGCGAAAATACACGCCCTCCTCCTCCTCCTCCTCCTCCTCCTCCTCCGCCTCCTCCTCCTCCTCCTCCTCCTCCTCCTCCTCCTCCTCCTCCTCCTCCTCCTCCTCCTCCTCCGCGCACCCCAAACGGAGGCAGGCTACCACCACAGGGCGGGAAGAAGCCGCACAAAGCGAACACCGCACAAGGTCGCTGCCGGCGCGCGGAGATCAGAGGCGCGGCCTCGCGCTCACGCCGAGGTGGTGCCGTAGGGATGACGACGACCTGGTGAGGTCGCCATAACCGCCCCACGGCCCGAGCCAAGTCACGCGCCGCCCTCCCGCCCCTCCTCCTCCTCCTCCTCCTCCTCCTCCTCCTCCTCCTCCTCCTCCTTCTCCTCCTCCTCCTCCTCCTCCTCCCCCTCCTCCTCCTCCTCCTCCTCCTCCCTCCTCCTCCTCCTCCTCCTCCTCCTCCTCCTCCTCCTCCTCACGTTGCCCCTCAGGGGGCGCCGTGCGTCCACGGGAGTCGAGCCGCAGGGCTCCCTCCGAAGGGCACACAGGCGGGTCCTAGTCGAGAAAAATGCCAGGCTGCTGGGAGAGCACAGGACTGGGATTACCCATCGGTCGTTGAAAGTAGGTATTTTGGATTCCCAGATTCCAATCTACTTTCAGCGCCTTCCTACTTCAAGAGTCGAGTGGTTTTCCCTCTTCCTTCCTCTCCAGGAGGCGTGCGGAAACCCAATCTATTTCCAACGCCTTCCTACTTCATGTTTCTACCTACTTCTTCCGACCGATGGGTAAGGTGGCTGCTCGTACCCAGCATTCCTGCGTGGCTTGGCCGCGCTGGCCCGCCACATCCCCGCGGGAGGCCCGAGCGACAGCGCCGCTCCATGGCGGACCGGCTGCGTTGCCGCAGCCCGGCCGGGCGGCCTGGGTACTCCAGATTTCGTAATAAAGGGAGGGGGGTCTCATTTCGGGGGGGGTCTCTTCCAGGCTACCTTGGAGGGCCTGGGGGGGTCTGGGGACGACGTTCTGGAGGGCTCTCCCACGGGAGGGGTGGGGGGGTCTGCAATGGCTTGTCTTGGAGGGTCCAGACCCCCTCCCTCTTATTACGAGATCTGGGGCAGCGTGATGGGCTTGCTCCCGTCATGCTCCTGCGGTCTGTGGGCGCGCCCGGCTGCGGGCCGCAGCGCCCCCGAGCGCCGTGGCCCCGAGGCGCAGGGCGTGGGCGGGGGTGAGGGACGCCGCCGGCCCGCAGAAGGGTGCGTGCGGGTGGTGCTCGGAGTTCACGCGCGCGTTCGATGCGTAGGGCTGTGCGGGGCGCACACCAACGGACATTCGGAGTCCTAGAGATTGACACCAACACCAAGATCGGCGGCGTGCCTCCACCGAGGGAAGGCGATCCCGATCTCGGCGATGGTGGTAAGATTCTGGCTTCCAAGGTGACCGAAATGTTACCACCAACACCGAAATCTAAGATCATCATCTCCCTGTGGAGGCAAACCCCTGTGCTGGTGTTGGTGCCAATTTCCAGGCCTCCAAGCCATGTACATTCCAGCGCACCCATGTCCCCTCGCCACCCTCTCTCTGGTTGACTCCGCGTCCTTCTAGCGAGATACTCATCGACGCTGCCGCCCACCCCCGGTGAGCCGTAGGTAGTCTGGATGGTGGGGCAGCTCGGCTGAAATAGCGGGGGGAAACGCAACCAAGACTGCTTAAAAAGGGCGGCCCCGAAAGACTTGCAAAATGTCTGAAAGATAATTGTTTGCAGCAGTGGTTCCCCAGGTGACTTGCTCATCCCACCCTTTGTAAGACCATGTGCCCATTCTGCGTGTGTAGGCCACTCCCCCCGCTCAGTGGCCAGAGCATCCACCAAGCTGGGGGTGTAGATTTCAAAGGCGATTGGTAGGTTTCCGGTTGGGGCCTCCACAGGCGCAATGGTAGATGGTGATTCGGTGTGTGTGTGTGTGTGTTTGTGTTTGTGTTTGTGTGTTTCTGTTTGCGTCCGTGGATTGTGTGTGTTGCGGATTGTGTGTGCTGCGTGTTGTGTGTTGAGTTCGTTGTGTGCGTGTGTATGTGCGTGTGTGTGCGTGCGTGCTGTGGTTGTGGTTGTGATTGTGGTTGTGGTTGTGGTTATGGTTGTGTTGTGATTCTGGTTGTGTTTCAAGACGTGCCGGTTACAAATTATCCCAGGGCGTGGGGCAGCGGATGGAATTTGTTAGAGTGAGCATTGAAGGCTCGCACCGGGGGCCAGGGCCGTTCTTGAGGCCAGTTGTCAAACCTGCGTAGGCAGCCAGATGATACTGGTCCAGGGAGTGTGCCAGAGCCCTCTTGTCAGCCGTTTCGGTTACATTCTGGAAGCCTTAGGAGCGCATCGAGCCACATCGATCCTTGTGGGTAGAGACACATATGTTTATCGTTCAGAAAACTGGCCATCCATTCGAAATCCTCACGCAAGCGGTCTACGCAATTTGAGGGTGAAGACGTTAGATACTGAAGACGCACCCTCACAAGGTTGCTGGACGTGATGCGTGGTTCTGACCATGAGAAATAGTCACAGCCTGATGGTAATGTCACCGGCCTGCCATAGGCCTCCAAAACGGCTTAGATGGAGCCCTGGAAAGGCTTTAGCTTCAGGAGAATGCTCTGGAGGCCCTGGGCCATCAATAGTCTTTGGATGCCCGGAGGTTCTCCAACTCTTTTGGGTTCCTTGCCCCGTCGGCCTGCAAAGTGCCCACGGCAGTCCAAGAGGCCTCCAACAATTATCGCTCCGAGACAGCCCTCCTCCTCCTCCTCCTCCTCCTCCTCCTCCTCCTCCTCCTCCTCCTCCTCCTCCTCAGCTTCACCAGCGGGTCCTGGTGAGCCCCAAGGGGGGTTTATGGGAGGCTCCTTGGGCTGGGGGGTGCGCACCAGAGAACGTTTGGACAGCCAAAATAGGCCCATCAAGGGCCAGGAATGGCCTCAGAGCGCTGGCGCGCACGACCGACGAGCGCAGTGTCAGCATAGGCGTCGGAGGTGGCGAGCCGCACACAGAACGCGGCAGAATTCGGCGCGGCCTTCGTCGGCGTTGTCCTTCGCGGTCTGGGGGGGGCGTCACACAGACAGGGGCTGTTCAGCCCGAGGCGCGTGGCCTTCCCATGACTTTGTCGCATTTGGTGTCGGACTGGCAGGTGACGGCGAGCGCTGCGAGCGCAGCCGGCTGGATCCAAGACGCGTGGATGATTTCATTCCCACCCGAATGAGCGCCCAGGCCTCGTGGAGGGTGCGTCTTATGGGGATGACGGCTTGGGGGACCTGACCTCGGCGGCCGCGGTGGCGACCGCGGCGGAGATCAGCGTTGCACTGCCCGCGCTGCTTCTTCAAGCTCTGCTCCGTGCAGGGCGGCTGCTGCATGGTGTTCAGCTGACGCAGCAGGCCTCGGGGTCCCTTCAAGAGTGCGGGTTCTGAAGGCGCCCTGGTGGGACGGCGACGCGCTGGACCCCTCGTCGGTGGTGGGTCTGGTGCAGCTGGGGAGCGCGAGATGCTTCCCATCAGCGTGCTCAATTGCATGAAAGCTGCGGCGGAAAGCACCTGCTGGAACTTTCCCTCCATGGATCCAGCTGCAGCGCTCGGCCCTATGCCCTGGCATAGTCGAAACACAAAGGAACGATCGAAGTTACACGTCAAAGGCGGCCCAACATCGTCGGCAGACGTCGACCCCCCGCCTTCCGCTCCCCTAATTAGCTGGAAGCCCGTTGCTGACCGCCAGGTTTGCCTCGCCGAGGGAGCTCAGCGACACGACGTGCCTGAGCTCTGTCGCGAGAGGAAGCAGGAGGGCGCGGACGATCCCGCCTACTCCTTTCAGGGCACACTTCTTCGTTATGGGAGGACGTGAAACCAATGCCCAGACTTTGCTCGCGCCATGCCTAAGCGGCGTGAGCTCCTCGGGCAGTGGACGCCCGCCGTCGACGTCGCCACCTTGACTCGACGAGGAGGTGCAGCGGCGGGCTGGGCAGGCATTCCGCGCGCTGTTCGCCGAATCTGTCGATCGCCTCATCAGGGCGACGCCCCGCACACCACGCCAGCGCAGACGTTCCAGGATATATATATATATATATACACATATATATGCATATATATACACATATATATATATATGCATGTATACATATATATATATATATGTATACAATTATATATATATATGTATATATATATATTGCCAGGATGCGGCGGCTGAAGGATGGGGCCGAGGACGCGGCGGCTGCAAGTTGCGCCGGTGCGGCTGCGCCGCGCTCTGCTGCGCCTTCCCCATCGCAGGGCTCGGCCCTCGGCCTGCTCCCGTCGGAGGGGGCGGTGTTCTCTCTCTCGCAGGGACTCCTGGAAGCTCGGGCAGCGGAGCGGCCGCCTCCCCTTCCCCCCCCCCCACGCCGGCCCCGCCCCGCAGCGTCCTGCGGCGGTGCGCTCGTGCGCCCCGTCGGCCTCGGCATCGGAAGGGCACGAAGGATTGCAATCCTTCGGTGTTTTTTTGCAATCCTTCGGTTTTTTGTTGCAATCAAAGGTTTTTGTTGCAATCCTTCGGTTTTTTTTGCAATCCTTCGCCCACGTCTCCGACGCTTCAGACCACCCCACGTCTCCGACGCTCTCCGTGAAGAGCCCGCTCCACCACCGAGAGCGGGCCCGAGCCGGGGCTGCGCCCACGACGGTTGGCGACGCGGTGAACGGCCCGACCGGCCGAGGTCCATCGGATCCCTCATGCATCCAGCGGGGCGCGACCCGCCCTGCTGCTCTAGAGTGCGCGGGTGGCTTCGGTTCCTCTGATCGCGGGCCGTCGTCATGTGTTGGCACGTAGCCCAATGGACGGCCGCGCTGTCGCCGTACTCTGCTCACCCATAAACTGACTGATCTTCGTCCACCTGCCCACCTGCGGCCTCGCCCTCTGGGGCCATTTCCTTGACCACATGTTCCCTCCCCTCTCCCCTCCCCTTGCACAGATGAGAAGGTTTGGCAACCCCCACCCTTCCAGTGGGGCCGCAATATCCGTAAGGGCTTCGCCCCCTGCCGCCGGCCCCCTCTCTCGGAGAATGGGCCATGGAAGAGCGAAGTCATGAGGCTTTGGCTTCGCCGTGAAGCAGTGTCGGGACCTGTTTGTTTTTCGACCCTGACCCTACGGATCTGCGTGAGGGGTGCCGCAGAATTTCAGAAATATGGCAAATCCCTTGTGTTTTTGGACCCTGACCCCGCCGATCTGCGTGAGGGGTGCCGCCGAATTTCAGAAATGCAGCAAATCCTTATATTTTTTGACTCTTACCCTGCCGATCTGCGTGAGAGGTGCCGCCGAATGTCAGAAATGTGGCACATCCCTTTTGTTTTTGGACCCTGACCCTGCCGATCTGCGTGAGGGGTGCCACCGAATTTCAGAAACGTGGCAAATCTGCTTTGTTTTTGGACCCTGACCCCGCCGATCTGCGAGGGGCCACCGAATTTAAAAAACGTGGCAAATCCCATGTGTTTTTGCACCGTGACCCCGCCGATCTGCTAAGGGGCGCCACCGAATTTCAGAAATGTAGCAAATCCCATGTGTTTTTGGACCCTGGCCCCACCGATCTGCATTAGGTGGGGGCCACAAAATTTTAGAAATGTAGCAAATCCCTTGTGTTTTTGGACTGACCCTGCCGATCTGCGTGAGGGGGGCCACCGAATTTCAGAAACGTGGCTAATCTCCTTTGTTTTTGCACCGTGACCCCGCCGATCTGCGTGAGGGGCGCCACCGAATTTCAGAAATATGGCAAATCCTTATGTTTTTTGACCCTGACCCCGCCGATCTGTATGAGAAGTGCCACCGGATTTCAGAAATGTAGCGAATCCTTTGTATGTTTGGACCCTGACCCCGCCGATTTGCGTGAGGGGTGCCACCGAATTTCAGAAACGTGGCTAATTTCATGTGTTTTTGGACCCTGACCCCGCCGATCTGCGTGAGGGGTGACAATTTTTACCCACCCCAGCAATTCAGACAATACGAGTTGGGCGTGGTAAAAATGCCCGTTTTGGGCCTCCCCCCTCGCGCGGCCCATCAACAAGGAACAGCAAGCTGCAAGAAGTCAACAAGGAACAGTAAGCAGCAAGAAGGAGAACTGTAACAGTGGAAACTGGAAGCTGCAACTGGCACAGGAAACTGCGAGCCTCCGGCCTACAGCCTGGTGGCCCCACAAGGGGGCCGGCGGATTTTCCGACACCCTTGTCTCTCCCATCCCTGACCCTTTTCCCCTCCCTGCCCCCCTCGCCGTGCCCCTCTCCCGCCCTCCATCTCGCTCTCCTCGTCCCCCCCTCTCCTTCCCTCCCCAGTTCCCCTCCCTCCTTTCCCATTCCTCGGCCCGCCCCACCCCACCCTTCGCCGCACCTTCTGGGCTCCCCCCCAGGAGAGCTTCCTGGAGTGGGCACGCGACTCCCGCGAAGCGAAGGAGGAACCGCCCGAGCCAGAGGAGCGCGGAGGAGGCCTCGGCGGCTTCATGGCTTGGGCCACCGAGCCCGGTCCGAAGGCCCGCTGGCTGAAAGTTGTGGGATGCCACCAACATTCCTCCCCATCAGCAGCAGCACCATGGAGCCCGCAGCGAGGGAGTCACGGCGGTCCCCCAGGTGGAAATTCACACGCAGGTCGGGCAGTCAGTCGACGAGAGTCAACACCAATCGTTGCAATTTTCGTTGGGCCGTATTGGCCTTAGTTTAATGACTTTGGTCTTGGAATCCCGCTGAAGGCCTTTTGGGAAGCCATAGGGCACGAAGCGGAGAGAGCGGTATGCCGAATTGAGGTTCGTTTGAGCCGTCTTGAGAGGCTAACTGATAATCTCTGGAGGCCCATGGGGCACGACGCGCGTGCTGAATCGAGGCTTCCTTGGGCCGTCTTGAGGGTATCACTGAAAGCCTCTGCGGGCTCAAGGGAATCCATGGGGCAGTAAATTTGTGATGGACGTGCCGAATGGAGGCTCCCTTGAGCCGTTTGGGAGTGCCCGATGAGGGCCGTTGGGGTCCACGGGGCGCGAAATGCGTGAGGGGTGTACCGAGTTAAGGCGCACTTGGCCCTGCGGCCGCCGATCCAAGACATTTTCACGTGCCAGGAGCTTGGGAGTGCAAACCAACAGTGTGTGTTTCAAACGCGTCTCATGATCAGAAGAGCGCAGAAGTATCGCACTGTACGTGCACTCAAAGCTCATCTGGAGGTCCATGAAGCACGAAGTGTGTGAGGGTACTCCGATTATGCCGATTCGTAGGTCCCAGACAGACATGATTCAGATGCCTAGGAGCGCAGTTCATATGTGTTTGTCCGTGTCCCAGTAATTGTGGCGAGCGGATGCCATCATCGGGCTTCTTTGGACCAGTCGAATGCGCGGAGCCGCTCCTGGCATACATTGCGCATACGATAGTATTGCATCTGCCATCTTCTCATAACCCATCTCTGCTCAACAGAGCTAAGGTTAAGTCGAGCCTGTTCCTCTACGGGGGGGGGGGGGGGAATATTCAAAAAAGTCAAAAATATTATGGGGACTATGTTTTGAGTATTGTTGGGCATCTTGTTGAGCATTTTCTGTGCTTTTTAAAAATTCTTCGTCCAACATTCCCCTGTGGGGGGGCAGGCCCGACCTAAAGCTAAGGCCACCCTGCTGCCGCTCCACATTACCATAGAGGGGGCCGGGAAACTAGCACGTATATTTGGGAATCAGAGGGTGTTCGGGGGTTCGGCTTCGACGAGTGGTGATCAATCGTTGCAGTTTTCATTTAGGCCATATTGACGTTCATTTAGGGGTCGCTCGATCTTGGGATCCCGTTGAAGGTCTTTAGGGGTCCGCGGGGCAAGAAGTGGAGAGATGGGTATGCCAAGTTGATGTTCGCTTGAGCCATCTTCAGAGACGAATTGAGAGTTTCTGAAAGTCCATGGGGCACGGAGTGCATGAGGGACGTGCCGAAACGGCCCCTTCGGCCGTCTTGAGGGGCTAGTTCAGGGCATCGGGGAACGAACGGGGCACGAAGTGCACGAGAGGTGTGCCAATTGAACCTCCCTCAAGCAGTCTGGAGGTCTTGAGAAACTCAGCACCTCTAGATGTACATGAGTCGCGACGTGCAGGAGCAGTGTGCCGAACTCCGGCTCGCTTGGCACTGCGCCCGCGGATCCGCTGCATTTCCTGTCCCAGGAGCTTGGGAGTTCGGCTCGATCGTAGCTTGACGCTTGTCTGGAGCCTGAGAGAACAGATCCATGGCATTATGCGTGCCACCCGAGCGACTCTGGAGATCCAGGGAGCACGAAGTTCGTGACGGGTGTGCCGAATTAAAGCTCACAGACGCGCCTCAGACGGCTGGGGGTGCAGATAACCCGCATGTTCACGTGTCTTGGGAGTTCTGAGGAGCGGATGCCTTATGCTTCATATGATAGCAGACCGACGGAATGCGCGGAAATAATCTCGGCATGCATCTTGCGTTCATTCTATTACGTCGTCCATACCATGATCAGTTCTGTTTGCTAAACACGGCTAGGTCGCCCTGCTACCGCTGAGCGCTCAAACAGTGGTCCCGACGAATTCAGCCCGCAGAGCGGGATTCACGGCGGGCCCCAAGGGGAAACTCGCATGCAGAAATTGCAATCAATGGGTGTTCGGGGTATGGTTCCGAAAAGGGTCGGTACTATTCACTGCCATGTGTCGCAGGACCATCTTGGCGTGAGGCGTCTTGCCCTTGAGCTCTGGGGCGAACCCCCTTGGGTCACGGGCCTCCTCCAGGTGGCCCTCCAATCTATTGCCATCCGGCCCAGGAGGAGGACGCGCCAGCCTTCCCGGCGCCGCTCCCGCCGCCGCCTCCGCCCCCGGCGCAGACGGCGCCGCCGCCGCCGCCGGCGGCAAAGGCCGAGCCCGAGGCCGAGGAGGAGAAGCCGGCAGCCACCGGTGGTGAGTTGATCGTGCCAAAGGAGTTGGAGCAGGATGGGGAGGGGTCAATCGATCCACCTGCACCAGCCCTGTCCAGGCCAATCTCTCGCTTCGTGATCGGTGCGTACGCCTCCCCAGACCCCCTCGAGTAATGAAAAATTCATGACGGGAGGTTTTTCCTAGTTTTCGGCCTCTGGGGGCCCTCACCGGGCCTCGGGAGCGTCAAAAAACGACTCAGGATGCAAAGCCGGTCATGGGGAAAGGGTCGGGACCTTTGGGGGTCGACGTAATGAAAAAATCATTACGTCGGGGGTCTGGGTCTCTGGCTAGGCCATCAGGGCGAACCCACCGGCTGTGGGCTCAGGGGTGGACTGGCCAGGATCGGAGCAGGTGGACAGTCGTCATCCTCTCTCAGGAGCTTCGGAAGATGGGCGACAGCGCGGGCGTGTCGAGCTCCAGGCCCAGGCGCGCGAAGAGCGAGGAGCGTTCCGACCAGAGCGAGGGGGACTGACGATGCGCGGGCCCGAGCGGTTCCTTCGTTTGCCTCCTTGAGGTCTCACCATCACTAGTTGCACGCTCGATTCACTGAGGGTCGACCTGTCCGCCATGTTGCTATTATCCGAATCGTTCTTCACAAGTGTACGGTCCCAGCTGATAAAAAAATGAAAGTGTTTGGGTTTGCGGTATTGGGTGGTGGGGTGGGAAAGGTGGTGGGAGGACGAATTGGCGCTTCATAGGTGCCTGGCAGATGATCAATGCCACGGCTGGTTGCATGTAATTCTACCGCGAGGTATACCAGCAAATGGTTCGAACTGAAGGATTATCTCTGATGCGTTTCGTTGCAGATGAGTGTTTGTCCACGTTTGCACGGGCGTGTCTTCAGATGCCGTGCGTGGTCTGCGGCTTGTGCCTACAAGCGATATCATTCGATATGATTTCTCTAGTGACGAGTTCGTTTCGCCATGCACATGCATATAAACACATCGGCCGGCTTCATACGAAATCATGCCCGCGGGTTGTTAGTCCTTTCTCTCATGCGCCCGTTTGCGCCACCCAGTTCGTTTGCCCATCCATTGGTTGGGCCCCGAGAAAGCATATTTGCGACTAGGTCATGGTGCCAGTGAGGTTCTTGTGCGAAGACGTACAGGTCTGCGCTGGATCATGTAAACTCGATGTTGCCAGCTTGTCGACGGTGGTGCACTTCGGCCTGGCTGTAAGAGGTGTTGCTTCTGTGTTGAGGGCCGAGGTGTCGTGCAACAGCTCAGCGAAGAAGACAGAAGAGCCATGGGGCACCAGCCAGCATCGCAAGACGTGCCAGCTGAAGGCATAAGTTATTGTTGGACGTCTTCGCATGCACGCGGCGTGTGATCCCAGGAGGGCTCGTCAGATGTTGCGCGGACCAGGCCACGTGCACACTGGAGTCAGCCGCTTCCTCCTCAATGGAGCATGGTACATTGCCCAGGACCAGGAGGACGAGGTGGAGGAGGATACGCAAGAGGAGGAGGAGGAGGAGGAGGAGGAGGAGGAGGAGGCCACTTCTCGGCCGCGCTTCGAAGAGTCTGACAGGCATTGCGAGGCGAAGCGAACGAGGAGCAGGAGGAGGAGGAGGAGGACGAAGGGGATGGAGGCAGAAGCGTGGGGAGGATGACGAATGGGCGAGAAGGTAGGGCGCAGGAGGCAGGGGGAGGACGCAGGATGCAGGAGGCGAGAAAGCCACCTGGTACACTCGGCCGCGTCCCCCGAGACGCAACCTGCGAAATAATACCCCTTGACAGCCCGCGCGTACATTCCGTGTCCTCCACATCATCCTCTTCGTTTGCCTTTCCCGCTTGAACCTGTCTCAGTCTCGTCCTCCTCCTCCTCCTCTTCCTCCTCCTCCAGGCAGCCTCATCATCTTCAGCAGCAACATCATCAGCAGCATCATCATCGCCATCCTCCAATATTATTGTGCGTAGATAGTGGTTTGCACCATCAGTGGGCGTTGAAGGCCTCGATGATGCATTATGGATGCACTATGTCTCGAGGCGGACCGCCTCAAGACCCTCATGGCGGCCGCTGGCCGTGGCGAGAAGTTTATCGTCCTGGAGCGCTCCTCTCATGACGTTTGTTTTGCTCGCAGGGCGCTACCCAAACACCTGCACCTGACCTGGCCAGGCCCACCCTGGACCCAAGCTCGGTGTACGCGCCCTGCCGGCACAAGGCCATGAGGGCGCGTGCACCGATCGTGTACCCAGGATCGGCATGGCCGGGCAAGGCGCACGTGTGAGGTGCACTGTTTGAAGTGTTCTTCTCTCCCCCCCCGCTCCCCTTCCCGACCCGTCCCTGCTGCCAGCTCGGCCCACCTCCCCCCTCCCTTCACCTCCCCTCTCCCTGCGCCATCGGCGCTCCCAGCCCCTCTTCATCATCACCCTTCGTGTCGCTGCCCCTCGTTCTCGCAGGCAACCCTCACGTCTCTGCTGTTGCTTTGCTCCGGCCCTCCCCCTCCTGGGTCACAGTGGGCGCCTGCATGGTGAAGGTACCAAGAGGGATGCAATGATCATACAGCTGCGCAGACCGAGCACTCGGTGGATGTCGAGAGGTTGGCCGTGGTATGCACACGTTAAAGACGAGCATGATGCCAAATGAGATTCGCAACGGCATGGCAGACATCTGGCTCACCAGCGACCGAAACTGAGTTCGCACGGACGATGCATAATCGACAGTTGGAGGCGGACTTGACGCGTTTTTCAAAATATACTACTGTCCTCAGGTGCGCTACTGAAGCTGAGGCCCGCGGTATTGATTACCGCTCTAGTCTTTGTTGCCGTCACTTTTGCGAACCGCCCCACCACCCCCACCCGCGACCTCCCACAACTCGACCCAACCCGTCGGGGTCCACCCGTGACCCGACCCACCCGCGACCTGCTTTGCGACGCCGACGACCCATCCACGATTTCCCCACACCGGTTTTCATCAAGTCGACGCCCGCGGGAGGCTGTTTTGCATTGGCGTTGGGGAACATCACTACTCGTCCCCGACCGCGCGACCCAGTGACGACCCGCACATCTAGCGCTGCGTTGGTCGGTCGCCTCCGCACTGTTACCGACCATTGCGGGGCTTAGGCATCTTCCCCACCCGACTTGCTGGTGTTGCTCATTTTTCTGATGAAAAACGCCCGCCAGTCCTGCAGATTGCGTCCGCCAGGCCCACGTAATCCCAAGTGTCCCACCTCGCCCGCCAGCGTGCATACCGTAGCCGTCAGGCCGCAGTAATCCGACGAGTCCCAAGTATCCCACCCGCCAGCGTGCATACCGCGTACACCATGAGCAGACAGCATGGACAGGTATCACGAACGAGCATCAAAAACACATCGTGAACACACATTAGGGGCTGGCACCAAACACTGCCAACAAGGACAAGCACCAAGAGCCTACGCCCAGAACTGACGACAATGGCATGCAACAAGAGCGTGCACCAGGAGCAGATGGTAAGAACAGACATCACGAACAATTGCGCAGTACATTCGTCAAGATCATACATTGGGAACCGAGACCATGAACAGACATCAAGGGTATAAACGCAAAGAAGAGGGCATCACGAACACAGACCAAGAGCAGGCCAGACATCACGAAGTCATACTTGAGTAGGTACCAAGACTACACGTATGGAGAGTGCACCAAGGACGTCATCAATACCACACATAGGGAGTTCCCGATGGAAACGTCCAGCGACTACACCAAGATCCGGACAACCCACACAACGAGTATACATACAGCACAGATGCAAAGAGCAACGCCACACGAGCTAGCACATCCAACAGGTGCACGGGATGCCTTACACGTGATAGAACATGCGTACACAACAAGCACAAAAAGTGTATGGAACATAGGTTAACAGCAGTGCAAGAGTGCACACGGTTTTATCATATTGTATCATACGCGGCAGACGTCGAAGCAAGTCACTGCAGTTTCTGGCTGGGGTTCGCCCGAAACAAAAGAATTGAGTTTTGATCGAGTTTGGCAGGAGAAAGTGAGTTTGCGGTTGCGACAGAACACTTATGATTCGCGCCTGAGGCTGCAAAGTGCCGTCGAGGTAAGCGTTCCGATGAGCTAGAGCACGATGCACCTCCGCTTCGAAGTACAGAACGTTCCCGCAATTCGCCCTGCGCATGGTCAGGTAGGTTTGCATGTATCCAAGTGTTTCGGACAAGTCGAGGGTGTTCATCTCTCTACATCTCGCACCGATGACCCAGACAGCGGTTGCATTAACGGGTTCCCGCGTGGCTTCTCATTGAGTCTGTGACGTTTCCAGGTTTTCGCGCGCTGGTCGCCTCATCACCCTCCCGCGTCTTGGCCGCCCTATACGGTGGTTGGGTTTGTTCGGTGTTCGACCGTCGCTGTCTCGTCGCCACCTCATACTCTGGCTTAGGTTTTCCCCGCTGTTCGCGTGATGGCCGCTTGTCGACGCCTCGTCGCCGCCCCGCGCGTTGGCCCGCGTCTCCGGACGCGGGCATGGTTACACGTCGTGGGCACACGGAGAGTGCAAGGACCCACCATTGGGGTCCGTGGTAGCAAATTCGTGTATACGTGTGCGGGTGTATGCATGTAGCGTGTGCATGTGCGTGTGTGCTTGCGCGCGTCGTTTCTCATAGGGTGGAGATTGCGCGGAGCGCTTCATCGACTGCGAGGCTGAGAGGCTGGAGTCGCAGCTCAGGCTCATTCTCCAGATGGGTAGGCCAGGGCTTGTACCAAAGAGAGACGCCCCCCTCCAGGAAGCGATAGCAGGGCGGTGGGGTAAGGGACGAGCTCACGTGCGATCAATGATGCGTGCAGGAATCATGCAGCACTCGTTAGGCTGCAGTCAAGCCAACGAGCACCCGTCATGCTCGAGAAGCGGCCCCCACTCTTTGAGCGAAGCCAAGCGTCATTACCCAACGCCCTGCTTGTGTTTCTTTCTCTGCCTGGCCTCCTCGAGATCCAAGGAGTCGAGGTCGGAAGAAGAGGTACGGTAGAGGGACTCTGGAGAAGGAGGAGGGGGGAAAACGGTGACGGCTTCATATTGTTCTAAGGGGCCTTGGGGGAATAAGAAGCGCGAAGCCCGGGCAGAGGAGGAGGAGGAGGAGGAGGACCAGTGTAAACCCAAGAGTCATCAACGATGTTGGAATCAAACGTCCCCCCAAGCTCCGTCTTCATAGGCCCCGACAACAGTTCATTTCCATTGAGGGAACTGCCTCGTTGGAAGACAACCGCATGAAGACCCTGAAGCATGCCAACACATTGTTGTCGGGATTCCAACGCCACGGATCAACCTGACTGATGCGTCTTGACGATCCTGAATCGCGCCAGAACGCCATTCCGAGGATTTCAGCATCGCGAATCAACGTAAAGGTTGCACCCTCATACTCCTGAGCCCTTCCAAAACAGTCTTCTGGCACGTTAATCATGGGAATCCATGAAGTGTTTGCCAATGGGCTTAAACGAATGCGCGCGGCGCTAAGGCGAGAGCCTCCGGCGAAACGCCAGGCCCGCCCAAAAAAATTGGCCTCGGGGTGCGACAGGGAGAAGTTATGTATATGGAAAAGGATTGGAGGCGGAGGAGGAGAGGGAATGAAAGAAGCTAGAAGGGAGGGAGGGTAGAAGCTATCAGAGGAGAGGAGAGGGAGGGCGCGTAGAAAAGAGCTGCGGCAACCTGCTTCTGGGCAGCGGTTCGCCCCCCGAACGGGCCCACCCCGTTTGCGCACCTCTTGGCGGCATGCCACGCCCTCTCGTCCCGTCCTCTCCCGAGTCCTTCTCCTCTAATATTCCCCCTCTTCCTCCTCTTCCTCCTGCTCCTCCTCCTCCTGCTCCCCCTCCTTTTGCGCTCATTTTCCTGCACATCCTAAGTTCTTTTCTGGCCAATGTGGAATATGCTGCAGCGTACGTAAAGATGCTAGAGCGCAGCGGCCTGTGACATCGTCACGGTCAAGTGAGGAGGAGGAGGAGGAGGAGGAGAAGCATGAGTGAAGAGCAAGCAGGAGGAGGAGGAGGAGGAGGAGGACGAGTGAGAACGAAGGGTAGGCAGGAGAAGGAGGAGGAGGAATTAGCACGAGGAGCAGGTATGGTGAGAAGAGGAGGCGGAGAAAGCAGAGGAGAACGAAAACGAGGAGGAGGAGGAGCAGGAGGAGGAGGAGAATCAGAGGAGACCGCTACCCTGCAGACGGCCAGCGCCGAGGCATGCAACACCTCGGTGTGACCGCCAAAGTGGCGCGCCCTGCCGAGGCGCTGAGCGGCTGACCGACGGGCCGCCCGAACCCGCTCCTCGCCCGTTCCTTCACCCCACCCCTCTTCCTCCCCATTCCTTACCTCCGGCAGGCGTGCGCGCGCCCGCCCCAGGGGGGGGGGTCCGGGGTGCCTCACGCCCCCCCGCCGCACCTCCGTCTCCTCCGCCTTGCGGTCGGTTCCTCCTCCCTCTCCCCCTCCCCCTCCTCCTCCTCTGCCTTCTCCTCATCATCATCCTCCTCCCCCTCCTCCTCCTCCTCCTCCTCCTCCTCCTCCTCTTCCTCCTCCTCCTCCTCCTCTTCCTCATCATTATTATTATTATCGCCCTCATCCTCATCCTTCGTCTCCTCCTCTTCTTCCTCCTCTTCCTCTCCTTCCTCCCCTTTTTCCTTCAGGGCAACTGTGCTTGGGGGTTGCTCCAAGCGGGGACCGGGGTGAGCGCGGTCTCGGGCACGCGGAGGGCAGAACTGGCATGTGCGTCGTGGCGCCACCCGCCGCTGCCCGAGCCACGCTCTTCGGGCCGGCTTCCACGGGAGGCCGGCACGGGACGGCGGCGGAGCCCAGGAATGGCCAGGCTGCAGGAGACCCCAGTAGCAGCTGCCGGGGCTGCCGTGTCCGCGGAGAGGAGGAGGAGGAGGACGAGAGGGAAGAGGAGGAGGAAGAAGAGGAAGACTTGGGGAGCAGGAGCACGAGGAGGAAGAGCAGACGAGGAAGCGGAGGAGGAAGAGGAGTAGAAGGAGGAGGAGGAGGAGGAGGAGGAGGAGGAAGAGTCGAGGAGGAGGAGAAAAGGAGGAAGAGTAGAGGAGGAGGAGGAGGAGGAGGAGGAGGAGGAGGAGCAGGAGCAGGAGCAGGAGGAGCAGGAGGATATAGGAGGAAGAGGAAGAGGAGGAGGAGGAGGAGGAAAAGGAGGAAGAAACGGTACAGGAGAGAGGAGTAGAAAAATAAGAAAAAAATGCGGAAGCGGAGGCCGAGGAGAAGGCGGTGGGAGGTGGAGGTGACAGGCAGGAGAAGGCGGAGAAGGAGACGAGAAGGGAGCCGAGAAGAACGGAGGAGGACGACGGAGGAGGAAGGACGGAGGAGGCGGAAGGACGGAGGAGGAGCAGGAGGAAAAGGAGAAGGAGGCGGAGGTGGAGGAGAGAGGATGGAGGAAGAGGGACAAATGAGGTGCAGCAAGAAGAAGAAGGGGTAAGGAGGGGTAAGAAGGGTTAGAAGGAGGGGGACGAAGCAGCCCAGGCATGATCACCGAGCACAGGGGCGGCAGGCCTGCGGTCTGCGTCTGCCGCATCGCGGGGCAGTATGGCAAGCCGCGCAGCAAGCCCACCGAGGCGGCCACCCTGCCTTCCTCATGTGTGTTTCCGCCTCCCCTTTTCGCTTCATCTTCGTTATCTACTCTGCGTCATCGTCCTCCTCCCTCTTCACCGCGTTCTCCTCACCATCCGTGATCTAGCTCTTCCGCTGGGCCTGGGCGGACTCGCCAACACGTTCAGGAAGAGGCCGCAGCGTGCAGCCTCCTCCAGAACCTCTCCACAAGAGTTCGACGAAGCTGTCCCGCGGTGGGGCCATTCCTTCCCCACCTTCCTCCCCCGCGTCGCCACAGCACGCCTCCACAGCCTCCGCCTCCACAGCATCACTTCGAACGCAGGGCGAAACTGTTGTCGCGCGCAGGGATCGGAAGCATCACCATTCGGCTGAGGATCCTCCACAAGCGCCAGGCGCAGGTCAATAGATGACCTGCAGCCGCCGCTTGGGCGAAGAACTCGCCCCGCTCAGGGCCACGTACGTACCGCCCGCACCGCGCGGTCGTTGTCGAAGACGCTGGCAAGACCACGTGGGACTGCGGCAAGCCAATCTGCCGTCATCCGCACGCAAGCGCACAGCGCACACTGGGGCCGTGCGCGGCCTCGAAGAGGCGCTGCGCGCCGCGGGGGCGGTCGTGGACGTCGAGCGCCAGGGACCCCGAGATGTCATGGACCTCCTCGTCGGCTTCCTGTCGACCGCTCAGCGGTGGTGGCTGGTTGTGAACGTCTAGTCGCCGTTCGGTGGCTGTATGCGTACGGCCAGCCAGGTCGTCGGAGCTGTGGCGGCGGGGGATCCAAGGCATCCCGCCACGGCCACATGGCCCGCAACGTCGCTGTCGAAGCAGGCTTGCGCTGCAGCGCGGGGGCGGCGGCGGGCATCGACGAGATCGCTGCCGCGTCGCAACTGCGTGGCCGCCGCTTGCGGGGCGGGCGCTGCAGCACGAAGGCGCTTGCCCTGGCGGGGGCGCATCAGAACTTCGGTTGCGCTGTAGAGCGCCGGCGCCAGGCTCGCGGCGATGGGACACGGAAAACCTTCGCTCGCTCCAGCTGCAACACAAATCCAAGACCCTGCGATTAGGAGGTGCAAGCATCAGCACCATCACATACCATCATCATCAGCATCATCAGCATCATCATCATCATCACCAGCAGCATCATCATTAACATCATCATCATCATCATCATCATCATCATCATCATAATCATCATAATCAGAATCATCATCATCCTCATCCTCATCCTCATCCTCATCACCAACATCATCATCAGCATCATCAACACCATCATCATCAGCATTATCAGAATCATCACCATCATCAGCATCGTGATCATCATCAACATCATCGCCAGCATCATCATCGCCATCGTCACCACATTACCATTATCACCACAAGCATCATCATCATCAGCATCAGCATCAGCATGATCATCCACAACATCAGCATCGCCACCATAATAATCATCATCAGCATGGTCAGCACCACCATGGTGGATTGCACAGCCAGCATAGTCATCACCACCATGAAACACAATAATTCTTTTCATTTCTCAGACAAGACATGCTGTGGCGCAGAGAGTGGCCCAGGCAGCGGCGGACCAGAATCGCAAACCAGCTGGTCAGAGGAGGGCGGTAGGAGGTTTCGACGATCAGATGTGTTTCGCTGGTGGTGAGCACGGCCAAGACGGTGGTGGGGCTCGATCTCCGATCGCGGAATACGCAGGGGGCTGTGAGTTCGGTGGCGCTATCCACCAAAAGTCAAGCGACGGTTTCTCTCTCCAATCGTCTTGCTCCCCCCATTCCCGTCTTCCTTCTCCGAATTCGCACCTGATCTCACGTTTGTGATAGCAAACGCTCATTTGTTCAGGTGGCGCATGGAGGTGAATCCTACAGAGCCCGTGTCCGATTCCCGTATTGGGGGATGCGCTCCAGGCGGGGAGAGCAGTGCCGCATATTAGCTCACACGCAGCTCTGCAGCGCATCCAGGCGGAGCTCGGCGCCATGTTGTTCAGGCCCAGGCACCGTGGCAGCCTTCGGGCCCGAGATCCAGGTGTGGCAGTTCTCTTCGCCCCTGCAAGGCGTTAAAGAGAGGCCTCACACGGGGTAAGCGACACGATGCGATCATAGTTTGACCACCACCATCGGGAAGCCACATGGGGCTGTCTTACAAAAAGAACAGTCTGGGCGACCTTGGCGATTATTGGGGGTCTCCTGGAATCCTCTAGGAGGAGGGGGGCATCTTGGACAGTTTCTTTTGGTATCCACGGGACCTCGCAGAGTCCATGTACGAGGAGAATGCCGACCGAATATGGATCCAAAGCCGATTCCAAAAGTGGTATAAAGTTGTGTTGGCTCTTGGGAGCTCTCTTGGATCTCCTTGGAGGCCCACTCGGGTAGAGTCCACGTATGCTCATCTGCAGGCCTGATTGGACTCCTCTTGGAGTCCCGTGGGACGTCGATTCTGGAAAGCACGAGCAGCACATTCAAAGTACATCGACTGCTTCACATCTTTTACATGTAATCAGCCACCAGCCAATTCAGAGGGTCGTCTAGGGCAGGAGTGCCAGGGAACGCTTCCCGCCTGCGTCGCCCCGCGCGCGGTTATGTACGATCACCCGTTGGTCGTCCAGCACCAGTTGCGCGGTTCTGACACGCCTTTCTGGCCAGTGATCTGTTCCGACAGGAATTTTGACACCAGCCACATTTCCAGAAGGAACACTCGCAGCGTCCGTTGCAATTTTGGCTCAGAGAGCCGGAGCCTCCGCGTCGCTGAAATGCCAGCGGGAGCGCCGCACACCCGCTAACGCTAGAAGTGAACGTGATGACTGCACATGCTCAGGTGCTCTCCGACCCATCCCTCTTGGGCGCTCTGTTCTCGCAGATCCACCGCGTACAGCTCTTCGGGGTCGCAGGCGCCGCAGCCTGTGCAGCGCGCCGCTTCCACTCCGCCGCCGAAGCATCAGCGCAAGCGCTGGTACGCGGCGTAGTGCCAGAGGCGACCAGGACAGGCAGAGAGCCTTGGGCCACGCACCTGTCCCTGCTAGCTGCTGCTGGGTGCCAGTCTGGCCCGTGCGCACTGTTACGGTGGGTGCTGTACGCTTCTGACGAGGAGAGTTGCCAAGCAGTCTCGCGCGAGCATTCCTGGAGGAGCCTGGGCGCAGAGGCCCTGCTGGATCGGTTGAGCGAAGCTGGACTTCCAGAAGGCCCGCTGGGGCCAGCCTGCTGCCTCCCGCTGCAGCTCCGGATCCTGCAGCGCCTCTGCATGAACGTTTGCCGGGGGCAGCCCGCCTTGGCGTTCGGGCGCGTCATCGTCAGCAAGGCTCGTGGCATGGGCGACGCGAGGGCAGAGGCCGCAGCGCTCCTGGGCCATGCCGAGTTGCTCAACCTGCGCGCCTACGCTCGCACCTACGTGACGCGCAGGCCTGATGCCGTGGCCGAGCTGCGGGAAGCCGTCCTGGCAGCTGGCCTCGCTCGAGCGGTCGAAGGCGGCAGCCCGATCCCCACGCCATCGGTGCGCGGGCACCGCCTGCTCGGCCGCACGCTGGCTTCAGCGGCACACGCGATGATGCTGGGAGTGTTCAGCGCCGCCTCCGAGCGGGCGTCAGCAGCGCACGCGATGATGCTGGGATTGTACGGCGACGAAGTTGGGGAGAGGGTCCAGGGGATGTGGGGCGACGGGCAGACAATGTTCCGTTCAGCTGTTACGGAGCTCGAGAGCGGGGTTGCGGCCGCAAAAGATGCAGCAGCACGCTGCGGATCTCGTCGGGGCGAGCATCTCGAGCTGGGCTCCTCCCTGGCCTCTTTGGGTGAATGCTGGTATTGCATCGCCTCGGCGCTCACGGGCTCCGATGGCGTGCTGTTGGGGCACTCTGCGCGGGATGCGGCTGAGAGATCCTTGCGCCTTCTGAAGGAGTCGTTGCAATCCCTGGAGTCCGCCCAGCTCGAGAGCACCTTGGTGTACGCGGACGCTCTGAAGGATTACGGTAAGGTATTGGCTTGCTTCGACGTGGTCCGTGACCCAGGGCATTGAAACAACGCGGATAGTGAGATCCGATGTGTTGTTTATCTCTTTCCTTCGTCCTACCCCTCGCACTCCAAACATTATCTGTTCTTTTTCAAAGGCTCCCACTCCATTTGCTTTCGCTCCGATAGAGTCCCAAAGTGGGGCGTTCCATTCTGCCTTTGCAAAGTGAAGCATTATAAAGTCGGCGGTTGCCTTTCAGCATCGTTTGTTTCTCCTACTCGGCATTGCAAGCTGCTTGTCGGAAATGGGACGCGGCGCAAACAGCGCGCGAGACATTCAAATGTCAAGTTGATCGAGTGCCGCTCAGGTTTGTTCTGAAGGTTCCGCCCCCGCTTCGGTGAGACGCCGAGCTAATCAGAAGCGGAGCCGTGCGAGAAAGCGAAACATTTCTCTCGCGGAATCGACGCACATGGTTCCTTGCAAGTCGATTTGCTGATGTTGTTGGAATGAGGACCGTGAGGTGGACGGGCGGTCAGAAAGGTGGAAATTGCGCAGTGCATTTCGTAGTCACCCATCGCGACAATATGTGCACACTCACAGGGCGCGGTAAGCGCACGAGCACCTTGGCATATACAGCACCTGCGCGGTGAGCTTCTTCTTTTCTGCACACGTGCACTGTCTGATCGAAAAGGCCTCGTCTTCCCTTCACCTTTCGCCATCATGGGCGAACTTTGCAGTGCAAGTCACACGCCAGAATGGAGTTGGTATTCGTGGCGCGGTGGCACCGAGCTTGTCTCGCGTTGGCCCTCGCACATCGGCGTGACTGCCCGCTCTGCGAGTGGTCAAACGCTGGGTCGTGCCGATGCTGATTCCAATGTTGACTGGGGGGGATGAGAGCGGTCAGGGCCCGCTGACTTGCGCGAGCTTTCCACTTTGACCCATGCACTCATCATGCTCGTCTCGCTCCTGGCCCTCGCCCTCCTCCTCCCTCGTCCTCGCCCTCCTCCCCCGGGAACGGGCCGGATCTCACTGTCCCCGCGGTTGGGGCCGCCACGAGGCGAGAGCGGCGCGCCCTCCGGGGACGGCGTGCTGTCTGCGGCGCTGCGGCTGCACTCCGAGCTGCTGGGGGCGGGCCACCCCCGGACCCGCAACGTGGCCAGGCTCCTGGGTGACTGAACCGCTGCGTGGCCTGGCCTGCAGCGTAGACGCGGCCAGGCATGCGGCGGAGGAGAGCCGGCATCGTGGCCGCGGCCGGGCCGGCAGCGTCGCCAGGCCCGCGGAGGATCGGGGGCGGCTCGTGGTGATGGCCATGGTGGATGTGGCGGTGACCCTTTGCGCACAGTGCCTTGCGTGGGGCGCACGAGACGAAAGACGGCCTGGTTCGAATCAAAGCGGTCGTCATCATCATCCCCCTGCACATGTTCTTCATCCTCTTTTTCGCGTCTCCTCATCATCCTCGTCCTCGTCCTACGTACTCTTCCCTGCGAGGGGGCCTTGGCAGCAACGTTGCCGCATCGTCACGCTGGCTCCATTCAATTTGCGGGGAAGAGATGGCCACGCAGGTGGTAGACGGCCTCGGCGAGATCATGCCAGGCGCTCGGCGCGTTTAAGGCACACCACGCGCCCGGGCATGACATGAGAAGAGAAGACGCAAGGAGGAGGGAGAACGAGGAACGAGGAGGAGGGAGGAGGGAGAGGAGCAGCAGCCCATGGAGGAGCTCACGAAGGAGAAGGACTCAGGCCAGGACCAGGAGGAGGAGGAGGTGAAGGATACATAAGTCGAAGTAGGATTATGAGAAGGGGGATGCAGGATGGGTTTTGCAAGCGAGATAAAGAGTCAGAGAGAGAGAATGGTGGATGGAGCAGGGAGGATGAAGGATGGAAGACAGACGATCTGCGGGGCGGAGAATGGATCACCAAGGATGGGATGCGGAGGATGCAGTAGACGTTGGCGCGGGTAACGCGAGGACGATGGGAAGCTAAGGGGGAGCAGGATGTGGAGGAAGAGGAGGAGCAGGAGAAGCAAGGCGGTGCAGGCGAAGTAGCAGCAAGATGGAGAAGAAGGAGGAAGAGGAGGAGGTGGGAAACCCTGGCCTGGCAGGCAACGTTTGGCGACAGGCTGAAGACCTCGCAAGCGCGGGCTCGCAAGCCCTGCCAGGGGCTGGAGGAGGAGGAGGAGGAGGAGGAATAACGAGAAGAAGAAGAAGAAGAAGAAGAAGAAGATCGTGGGAGACACGGGTGGGCTTTCCCACCATGGACCGTGATTGGCGAAACGAATCCGCTTCACGGTGCAAATTCTTATATGGATCTCCACATCGTCACAGCGTGCGTCTTTCTCAAAAAAGTGGCTGACGTACTGGTGAGTATCGGCACTTTGTTGAATGCCGTCAGGTTCCCGAGCGACGCATGCGGATACCGCGTGGGCTTCTTCCAGGAGCGCCGACTGGTCGCAGCGCCACTTCCCTCCAGACGCCCTACCCGTCAGAAATGTTAGCACCTTGATCTGTCATTGATGCTGTTGGGGGGCAAGCACCTGGCTTTCAACACTGTGACGACGTGTAGCGCCAAGGATGTTGACGACTTGCTTAGTCCTGCCCGTGCGCCCATGCTGGTGCATGAGCGACAGACTGCGAACACAACGATCGTGAGGGAGACTGTACGATTACGAGTGGCACGTACGGTGACGCACGCGTCGACGTGCAGTGCTTCGGCAGCACGGGTTCCAACGCCAGCAGTGTCAAACGCGATGTGCGATGGAACACCCGCGGACCCACATTCCCTTGCGAGGAGGAGGAGGAGGAGGAGGAGGAGGACGAGGAGGAGGAGGAGGAGGAGGAGGAGGAGGAGGAGGAGGAGGAGGAGGAGGGGGAAGAGGTCAAGGAGGAGGAGGAGGAGGAGGAGGAGGAGAAGGAGGAGAAGGAGGTGACCACCTGTTGGGCCCCTGCCGCCCAACGTTGCCCGACGCAGCGCACCGGCGGCCTGCCTGGAGAGGAGGGCCCCGGCAACTTCGCGCACGCCGTCGCGCTGGCAGCGTCGAGCGCGCGGGAGGCGAGGTGCCCTCCTCTCTCCCGGAGCGCGCTGCCGTGGGACGCGGGGCCCCGCGTGCCCTCTCGAGCTGGACGGGGCCAACGCTGGTCGATCTCGTGACCAGGCATGCTGAGCAGGCTGCCCGAGGTCGTCGTGAGCCCGCTGGGCACGATTGCCGCCGCGGGCAGGGGACGGGTTGGCAAGTGGCGCGCTCGTGGGCCGCCGAACGACCTCTTCCCGCTCACTGGCCGGCTTGCTCCACTGGCAGATCCTCGCATCCAATCCCACCGTCGTTCCAATTAGTCCCAGAGTATACATATATACATATATAGGTGTGTATGTATAACAAAAATCTGTATTTGGCCCTTTTGGAATCGTTTTGTATTCTACCCCCGAGGGCCCCGATCGCCTGTATATTCATTACGACACGATCCGCGGGCGTGCTTCCTGAAGCCCCGCCTGCTTCCATCATCCCTCTCTCCCTCCCTCCCTCCTGTTTTCGTGCTCCTTGCTCCCTGCTCCCGATCCCTTCTGCATCTCGCCCCTCACCCCGCGCTCCCCGCCCACCCGCAGTGCTCCGACACTCGACCGGTGGGGAGGCACAAGGGGGCGTTGTGGCAGAGCCGCTGCTGACTCATCACGGCGGGAGGAGGAGGAAGAGGAGGAGGAAGAGGAGGAGGAGGAGGAGGAAGAAGACTCGCGAGCTAGGGCACCCCCCGCCACCAAGGTCATTCAAGGGCGACAACATCAACGGGTACGACACGTCCGACCGAAAGTGGGACCCCAACCGCCTGTTGCAGGATAGGCGGTGGGTGCGCCTCCCTCAGTCCTCCGGCATAGCAGCGAGATGGACTCTCGGTGGCGCCGTTCCGTCGGGCAGCCGCTGGATTACGAAGAATTCCCTCCGACATGTTTTCAGAGCACTCCAGGGTGATCCAGAATGTTCGCGACACACAAACACATGCATACAGCGTCCCTCCTTCCCTTTCCCTCCCCGCCCTTCCGTCCTGCCCTCCTCCCCTCAATCAGAAGGCATGCGGTGCATCCTGCCACCGTGCCGGGGTCGAGGACAAAAGACCCTTGTGATGCTTCGTGGGGTCTCTCGGGCCTCTTAGAGATGTCTTTGGCCTCTTCAGGGCCTCTTGGGAGCCCCTCGGGGCCTCTTTTGGGGGCTCTGTAGGGGGCCAGCTGGCGGTGTCGGGGCCGTGCTGGCGGGGGGCGGCTAAAAATGTCGGTTCGGGGTTCCACACGTTGGGTTTGGTTCGGGGGCCGTCTCGGGGACTTCGAGTGCCGTCGTGGGGCGATATAGGAGGACTCTTGAACTCGAACGCGCTGAAGACCTAAAGCCGAGAACGTCACCATCGTTCCCACGAGCTTCGAAGACGGCCCAACAGGGGCCAAAGAGGGCTCCAGTCGGGGGAGCGTAAGACCCGGGTTTGCCGGGACTCGGATTCGCCATCGTTTTTTGACGACTGCGCCTCGGATTTTGACGAGGAGGAGTTTCGTGGGATGTCTGCAGCGGGAGGCCTCGTCAAAATGCAGGCTCGGCCTCGTCATTTTTTTGACGACCTCGTCGGGGATTTCCGAGTCCCCCGTACCCGGGTCTTACGTCTCCCCGATCCAGGAGGGGACTTCGGACCAATTTAGACCGTACTGGACATGTGGGTACCCAACCACGACCCCGAGGTTTCTGAATGAAAAGTCGCGCGGGGATCCCCGAGAGCGCCCAGGAGCGCCGAAAAACTAAAGACCCCAGCCTCTGAAAAAAGTTACTCGACACAGAGAAGTCGAAGGGATTTGAGGGCACCACACGCCGTGCTTAACGGCGCGATGTCCGACAGAACTCCGCTTCGAAAGATCGCAATGGAATTTGGAGGACAGTGTGCGGGGGCTGAGGGGGGGACCTAGATAGAGAGGAACGGTGTTCAGTTTTTGTGTTCCGGGTATCCTTGCGGTTCTTGTGCACGATCAGCTCCCCGTGGTTCGTGTGCGGGCTTTCTGTGTGCGACAGAGATCTGTGTCAGCCCTTTGAACTCCCATGGGTGCCCCTGCTTCTTCTTGCTGCGCCTCTGTGTGCTCTGAATAGGTCTGCGCTTCTGTTCCATCTGGAAGGGGCGGGTGTCCAGTTTTTGCAGTCGCTCCCTCAGTTTGTTCCTATCCTGATTTTCATGATATATGATTGACATTCATGTTTGCCCATCTGCCCTACCGACGTTCGATGACGACGGCGATGGCGACGGCGGCGACGACGACGGCGACGGCAACGGCGACGGCGGCGACGACGACGCCGACAACGGCGACGACGACGACGGCGACGACGACGACGACGGCAACGACCACGACCTTCCCCTTCTCTCATCCGCCTCCGCCGTGGGCTGTTCCCCTGCTCTCGGCCTTGCCATGTGGAGCATTTGCCTAGACAGGTCGTCACGACGTTGGTTACGACGCCCCAGGGTCAGGCAAACTCGGCACGGCACGTGGAGGCCGAAGAGAACGATGCGGAAACGAGGAATGAGGGGGAAGGGCAAACATCAGGAAGGGAGATCGATGAGGAATTAAGAGGAAGCGGAAGACAGAGAGAGAAGCGGAGGAGGGAGCAGGACAGGGAGGAGCAAGGAGGCGAAAGCATGCAAGGGGGCACAAGAGGAGAAAGGGCACCAGGAGGAGGAGCATGAGAAGACGACGAGGGGCAACGACGGCGACGAAGGCGAGGACGACGACCATGATTATGAGAACGATGACGGTCACAACAACAACAACAACAACAACAACAACAACAACATCATCAACAACAACAACAACAATCATTTTCAGACTGTTCGCCCTTATCTGCTCGAGTGTCGAATAACGCGAATTTCCCAAACCCTCGATACCCGCCCTTTTCGTATTCGATCGAACCCCTTTTGGGTGGTATACCTTTCTTCCCTGCAGGCCGGGCCCCGGCAAGCGGCGGGGTGGCCGCAGACCGTCGGCCTGACCAGCGGCAGCGCTGATCGGCGGGGCGGCCGCGGACCGTCGACCCGACCCCAAGAGGGACGGACAGGGGACCGACGACGACGACGACGACGACGACGTCGACGACGACGGCAACGACGGCGACGGCGACGACGACGACGAGCGAAAGCGAGAGCGAGAGAGAACGACAGCAGAGCCACGAAGGACACGAAGTAGGCCACGAAGGGCGACAGCGGGGACACGAAGGGAATGCGTATGGGGCCACGAAGAGCGCGAACGAGCGTGGGCCACGAAGGGCAGATAATGCGAGGCCACAGAAGGCAACGATGGGGCCACTGAGGGTAGCACCTGGGCCACGTAGGACAATAAGGGGGCCACAAACGGCGACAGCGGGGCCACGAAGGGCACGCACATGGGGCCACAACGGGCGCGAACGAGCGGGGGCCACGAAGGGCATACGTATGTTGGGCCGCGGAGGGTACGGACGGGGCCACTGAGGGCAACACCGGGAACACGAAAGGCAACGAAAAGATTACGAAAAGCAACTGCGGGGCCACGAAGGGCATGCATATAGGGCCACCACGGGCGCGAACGTGCGGGGGCCACGAAGGGCATACAGATATGGGGCCACGAAACAAAGCGAAGGGGCCACGAAGGGCTGCAACGGGGCCACGAAACAAAGCGAGGGGGCCACGAAGGGCTGCAACGGGGCCACGAAGGGCTGCAACGGGGCCACGAAGGGCAGCGAGGGGGCCACGAAGGGCTGCAACGGGGCCACGAAACAAAGCGAGGGGGCCACGAAGGGCTGCAACGAAGGGCAACGAGGAGGCCACGAGGGGCTGCAACGGGGCCGCAAAGCGAGGGGGCCACGAAGGGCTGCAACGGGGCCACGAAACAAAGCGAGGGGGCCACGAAGGGCTGCAACGGGGCCACGAAGGGCAGCGAGATCCCGATTCCTAGGTAATCTGTGAAGGAGTCCTAAGCGTGAGCGCGACTCCTGGGTGGGAGCGCGGCGCTGGAGCAAATTGCAAGAAATTCTCACTCAAGGGCGCTATTCTTCAGTAAATTGCCAGCAAGTCTCCAACGAGAGCGCGACTCCAGAGCGCAGGAGGAGCGATTCCTGAATAAATCGTAAGGAAATCCCAATCGAGAGCGCGATTCTTAAATAAAATGCGAGGAAGTCTCGGGCGGGAGCGGGTGTCCTGGCTAAATTGTGAGGAAGTCTTAGGCGGGAACCGTTGTTGTTGTAACCCGGGGGCCAGGGGGCCAGTTTGAGCAGGATGATTTTTCTTGACAAAAAACAAGGTGCGAGCCCCTGGGGAGGCACTTCAATTGAAAAAAATCAATGTGCACCGGTGGGGGGGGGATCACCAATAATTATTTTTTAAGAATGAGAGTTCAACAACAATCAGTTTAAGACTGTTTTCTCTTACTGGCACGCGTGTCTTGCATTCTGTATACCACAACCCTCGATACCCGCCCACTTCGTCTTCAATCGCACCCCCCTTTCGGGGGGAATATCTTCCTTGTCAGCCACTGACTGAAGTGCGAGGAACTCTCGAGCGAGAGCGCCGTTCCTGAGTTCGGGGGCATCTCTGGCCAGGGGCTCTCGGAACACAGATTGAGGAATATTGAACGGGAACCCTTGTCGCCGTGTCTGGACCTTCACCAACTTGCCTGAACTACGAGAAAGTCTCGAGCGAGAGTGCCACTATTGAGTTCGGGGGCCTTTCTAGCAAGGGCCTCTGCGAATACACCTTGAGGAAGTATCGAACGGGAGCCCATGTCGTCGTAGTTGGCCTCCACCAATCTGACTGAGACTGAATCACGAGAAATTATCGAGCGAGAGCGCTGTTCCTGAGTTCGGTGGCCTTCTTGGCCAGGGGCTCTCGGAGTAAATCGTGATGAAATATCGAGCAGGAATCCTTGTCGTCGTGGCTGGGCCTCCGCCAACTTGATTGAATGTCGAGGAAGTCTCGAGCGAAAGCGCCGTTCCTGAGTTCGGGGGCCTCTCTGGCCAGGGTGTCTCGGGGTAAATTGTGGGGAAGTGTCGAGCGGGAGCCGTTGTCGTTGTAGCTGGGCCTCCAAGGGCACACATTTACATTCAAGCCACCCTAAACCCTAAACCCGGCGTCGAGGCGAGACGCGCTGAACCGTTTCGGGAGACCAGCAATAATTGTTGTCTAGAATTGAGTATCCAACAACAGCAACAGCAACAATCGTGTTAAGGCTGTTCGCTCCGATCTGCTCACGTGCCAATCAATACGTATATCCCAAACCATCGGTACCCGCCCTCGTCGTCTTCGATCGTACCCCCTTGGGGGTATATCTCCGTTACCTGCCACGCGCATTCAGTGCAGCCCCTACAACAGGGGAAAAGAAAACGGGTGGAAGGGGGAGGGAGAAGGATGGTGCACGAGATATATTAGCAGGAGGAGGGCAAGGAGCAGAAAACAAGTGGTAGAACCAGATGGGCAGATCGGTTGGGCAGACCCATAGCGGCTCAAGTCTGGAAGGCGGGCACAGGCGACCAGGTCGAGCAGTCGGGTTGTAAGCGTGGGTCCTGCATGAATCGCGAGGAAGTCTCGAGCGATAGCGAGAGCCCCAAGAAATCCCATTGTAAGAACCAAAAGAGAGGGCGTAATTCTTGAGCGCCGAAGGCACATCGTCTGAATAAATTGCGAGGAAGTCCGATGCGAGAGCGCGGTCCTTTCATAAATTGTAAGGAAATCCCGCGCGAGAGCGCGATTCTCCAATACATTGCGAGGAAGTATCAGGCGGGAGCTGTTGTTGTTGCCAGGGGCGCAGTTTGAGGAAGATTTCCCTGCTAAAAAACAAGGTGCGA